TTATTAACAAAATATTCCCTTAAAATATTTAACATTCATGAATTAAAACAATTAGTTATCTTCAAAAGTTTCTGTGTTATCTTCAAAATATTCCCTTAAAATATTTAATATTCCCTTAAATGATTTTTCCAAAGGAGACAAAAGCACTCTAGTTTACTAAATAGCATAACACAGAAACTTTAAGCAGGTGTACTGATCATTTTTGTTGACCTGGAGATGTATTATATTTATTAATAGCTTAAATATGCTATATAACTAATGGATTTTGATATATGTATATGTATATGTATATGTATATGTATATGTATATGTATATGTATAGTTACCAAATTGCATATATAAAGAAAATCCCATTCGGTGATAAAGCTGAACCTCAAGGATAGCTTTACTCAAACAGAAACCATGTTAGCCTTTTTGATAGCATTTTGAACCTACAAAATAATCTTGATTCATAGGATCTTCAGTCATCTTAGTAGCAATAATAGCACTACCAGCCAAAATAAATAAGTGTTGCAACACGTACCATATTGGTGTCATTTAACTAATAAACATGTAAGAAAGTAAAAAGATAAATGATAATACTCATAAGTTATATCAACATTCCAGCATTGCGTGAGTCAGTGATTATTTACACATTCATGTTCATGTAATCATGAATGCGTTCATGTGGGATGTAATGGTCATTCGTTCATTTTAAATCAGTTTCTATCTGGGCAAATTCTAGAATTTACATTGCCACCAGAGAATGCAATTTGATGCAAAAAGAAAAAAAAAAGAAACTAGCAACGTTTACTTCATCTACAAAAAATATAGAGAAAAAATATGACTAGACGTCTAAACGAACTCACAAAAATCATTTCTTCATTCTCATCATTGTCATCCTCCGCTTCATCCAGACCACCCTCGGATGTAAGCACATTCTTATTGATCTCCATCTCTTCCTCCGCAGCAAGGGATGCAGCCAATCTTGATGAGAGAGAACAATGTATTAGACAGTAGTAACATAGCAAAAGGATTGTTTTGGGTCATGACGGAGAAAGAAAAAGAGCGAAAACTATGGACATGACGTTGCTCACAGCTCATCTTGGTTTTCCTGGGAAGAAACCCCTGATTCCATATCACCACGAGGTAGAACGCTGCTTCCTTCAGCCCCAATTTCATCATTCGAATCCAACACCTTTTTCCCCTTTGTGTCCTCGTCCGTAATCTGCTTCTTCTTCGATCCTTCCTTCCGCTTCTTGATCTCGGCTGCCAATTCTTCAAGCCTCTTCGCCTTGAGCTATATAAGTCAATGCATACAATCAGACAACTGAAAAGAGGATGGAGGGATATAAAGAGAGAGAGAGAGAGACAAACGTGGTTGAGGAGGAGCTTCTGGGCGGTCTTGCGGATCTTGGCGCGGGCGGCAAAATGAGGAGCAGAAGACCAAGACTTCTTTTTTTTTTTTTCTTTTCCTCTTCTGAGACATGTTTTTCTTTCGCGTCCAAACATAAGTGTGCAATAGAGTATCATTTAGAAAAAGTTGTTTCTTCTCATGTGTGCACACATGCACACATAACATGAACATCAACTGAGGGAAATAGATAGCAGATTCTAGCAATTATATTTATTACTTTAGGGCCACTAATTTTAGGCGTTATGATTTTTCTTGCTCACTGTAGCAATTATTCACAAACATTTTGAAGAGTTTAAGCCTAGATGTATCTGAAAAAATTAAGATACCAACTTTTATATATATTTTTCATAGATATAACATAAATGAAATTATGTCTCTATTTTTCATTGGATACCAAAGTTTAAAATTGAATGATGATGGATGCTCCAACTATAATTATGATCCCAATGAAATATAAATTGATGAAAAGAATCTAAATTCGAGTTTCTCTTATGCATACAGATATGCAACTTGGAATTGGACCACTGAATGTTATCAGAGTTCTTTTAGAGTACATCAGAAATTGTATTACTTACAAGAACCAAAACTAGCTTAGGAGCGCATGAGATCTACCAACAGGTACATAAGTAGAAGAATTGATAATAGACAGTGAAGCATTATCAAATAGATTTTTGAAGCAGGTTCAAAATAAGCTCTCCATGTTAAAGGTAATGTATAGCTTTGAGGGTGAGGCAAAGAGTTATACAGATCCATACAAGTTTGTTTTCCAGGCATCTAGAGTGTTGGAAGATTGTCTCTGAAGCTCACTAGATTTTTAACCATGTCTTTGATCCATCATATGTATAGATTTTCAAAACATGCATCTCTAGTGTATTGCACGATTTTATACAGACGCATGCTTCCTATGGTCTTTATGAAATCAATCTTATTCACCAGATTGAACACTAAAACTCCATCCTTTACGATATGGCTTCTTCAAGCTTTTGCAAGGATATATAATTTACCATCTAAAAAGATCAACTCTACTTATAAGAAATTGTCAAAGCAACCCCGATCTAATTATAAAATACAAATCACTTCCATTTACGATATGGCTTCTTCAAGCTACTCACATGTTGCTACACCAAATACGAACCTAAATAAGAATAAAGCCCAAAACGACAATGTGGCAAGAAAAGAATGGAATGGAATGGAAGGAAATCACCATGGGACGGACCTTGTTGGCATACAGGGAGGGGCACACGATCACCCTCCTCGTACCTATGATTGGTTCCGTCAGCTCCCACCCTCAAACCACGAGGCACCGCTAGAAGAAGCAGCGCACATAACTCCCCCGTCTTCGCGATCATCAAACCAACCTGAAATCGATCGAAGAAAACTTAAAATCAGCCCTAAAATCTTTGCATTTCGCTGAAAGATGAGGCGTTTCGAACCAAATGCGCACCTTCGTTCCCGAGCCGAGACAGATCGAACGGGGCGATGGGCTCGGTGGATCTTGGGGACACAAATAAGATGAGCACGTGCGAAAGTTAATTTCCAATTAAATATATAATACGACTCTAAAATCTTATTAATCTAATTAATTTGGGGGCTTTAGAATCCAAATTAAGATTAACTAATTGGATTCGATTCAAGAATCACTCTGTCCGACCACGGTCCCACTATATATATCTCTCTCTCCTCCCCCACTCTCACTATGACTTCTCTCCCCTCGTCTCTCGCCTCTCGCCTCTCGCCCCTCCTCTGCTCCCTTCTCGTCTCCTCGTTCAATTCCTCTCGACTCGCCTCTGCTCCCTTCTCTTCTCCTCGTTCATTTCATCTCGTCTCCTCACCAGAAATTTAGTCGTCCATGGAGCCCGTCGACCTCGTACCGAGCGGGTACAGGTTCCTTCCCACGGCGGATGAACTCGTGGTTGACTACCTCGCAAACTGGATCGCCGGCGCACCCCTCCCTAGCCGCGCTGTCGCCTTCGCCGACGTCTACGGCACCGAGCCGTGGAATCTTCTCGGCAGCGATCGGCATGAAGGCTATTTCTTTGCGGAGCGGAAGCCTAAGAACAACGGCGGCTCGCGCGTGGATAGAAAGGCCGGCAGCGGTTCTTGGACTCTGTACAAAAAGCAAGAACCCGTGAAGTCCATCGTCGGCGGGCGCGAGATGGTGGTGGGGCGAAAAAGCTGCCTATCCTTCAACGATGGCCGTCGGAAGAACTCGGGGTGGACAATGTACGAATTCGAGATGAGTTCTTCCGGATTCGAGAGACGAGTTCTCTGTCACGTTAAGAGAAGCTCGCATCAGGCCATCTCCGGAGGCACCACCATCAAAACGGTTGAGTCCACCTTCACGGAGGCCGCGACAGACACGGTCACCGGCGACAGCTTCATTGGGCGGAAGAGAAATAGAGAGGAATCTTCTATTCTCTCAGCAAAAGCATTGACTCTCTCAAAGAAGCCATGCTGGGGGTTGGTTGCACATTCCAGCACAGCATTGCAGTCCGACGTCTCACCACCTCCAACCGCGGTTGTCCAACATCCACCCCCGGAGAGTCATCTTTCCTCGGTCGTCTCCGTTGCACCGAACGAAGCCGGAGTCCCAGCCACCTCTCGATCATCAACGGATGTTGGTGGAGGTGAGCTCGTGATAAGTGCGGAAGAACTCGAAGCATTCTTGGCTTCGTCTTCGT